ATATTGTTCTACTACGGATGGCTTGCAATGCTGGCGGAAGGCAACAACGCGAAGATCAATACCAACACGCTGATTCAACATGTAAGACAATTATCATCATTTTCCGCCCTTTGCTGGGAGCAATGGGAACTTCCGGGTCGGAAATCAAGTAAACATGACCACCGACGGTGCCTTCGGCCGATAAAGTACCGGTCTTCTCCTTCCTGTCCGTAGGCTGCCTCTCGAAAATCCAAGTAAAAGACACGTTTCCCTGCTCGATGTAATTCGGTTAATTCCACGAAATAGCGGTCCGCTCTTGGCAGCATTTCCTCCTCCACGGAAATACAGCTTCCTGTATTATCGAGAAGTGTCCCAAACGAATTCGTGCGAGCTACCCGAAATTCCAGCAACGATCGGATCCGATCCTACGTAATCTTCCAGATGGACGATTCGGTTCAACGGTGTTTACTTGCACGAAACAGGATGACGTTGAATTTCCGATAATCCAGCGAGGTTACCGCTAGCTCGTGCCACGGCCGGGAAAGTTACGAGCTTTTTCCTATCTTCGGGATACGCTCGAGGATCCCTTTTTCATCGTAGTTTTGCGTCCCGGCACGGTTCACGGAAAGTTTGCCACGGTACCGATAACGTAACTTCGCTTATCGTTGCCAATCGTCGTATTCATCTTCCGTTTAGAAGCTTCGCCGATATTTCGTGCTGTGTTAGCAGCGGACAACCCCTAGCTCCGGCGCGTTTCATCGAAACGCGTGGTACTTACGGACAACTCCGAAGAATAACTCTTACTCGTCACGCGCGAGCAATAGCGAACCGAGCCGAACGTATCGAGTTCTGTTCGAACGGAAAGTCGTCGAGGCATAGTTTGAAACGATGATGACGAGAGGATTGAAAATTCATCGTCGTACGAGCACGTATCAAAGGCAACGTGTCACGTAAAATGCCGTCAGGCTTTTAGGTGCATACAAGTTGCCCTCGACGGAAGGACGTTTGGTCCGCAGAGCCAAACCACAGCAGCTCCGTCAGCCTAACGCGGTGGTCGGTTCACGAGCACGTTCCCCGTGAGCTAATGTCCGTGCCACCTGGGACATCCTGACATTCGGACGCTCCGATGTCCAGACGCCACGACGCACGGTTCCTCCCCGAGGACTGACCGGCACTATAGCGCTGACTGGTTTTAATCCATCTAGTTTTATGATGACACAGTGTCCTCGAGGACTTTCCCAAGTCGGTCAACTTGGCCGTGGAATTACTCTACGTACTAGAACCGGGTCGGGGGACATTAAAGTTTTAACTAGATTACGCTGGATATTTAGGGCTTGGTAAAAACTTACAACGACCAAGTTTTCCCGGGTAACCGAACGAATATTTTGCAAACGTTGCTCTCTATTTTTTCTAATACCAACTAATTTAAATAACGAATTAAATTCTCCCGAGCCGCACGCTCTGGACGTTTCCTCACGGATTGCTTCCGTCGTTGAAAGTTTAATCTTAAACGGATCGGTCGGCGGTTAGTGTACGCAGAGAACGGACAGAATTATTAACAACGGAGGAAAGAACGAAGCACGTCTCCGGCCCAACGGGACACAGCGTATCGTCGTAGAGGATTCGCTGCTGGGTTCCGTTTAATCTCATTAGAAAATCGCCGCGAATCTTTAGTGTCTCGTGAATATTTCATGGACGTGTCATGTGTGCGCATAATCTTTCGTACCGCCGCCACTGTTTTCCTATCGGGCGCCGCCCACTGGTTCACCCCACTGCTGGTGGTCGGTCCACTGACAGACGGCCACGTTACAAGAGCAGCGCTGCTCTCGCGAACGGTCGAGAGTTGATTAATCTCTACGTTATTTAAGAAGCGCATAACTGAAGCGAAAAGCTTCGCTCGGTTAGCTTTCTTCGAGCAAGTTCGATTCCGTTGATCCCTTGTTTGGATCGGGTCACACTTTCATCCCTTCTGAAATCATCGTATTTCTCTATATTTACAAAAAAAAAAAATAAAAAAAAAGAGGTTTCGAAATTTTCATGTTTTCGACGCGAAACGGCTTTGAGTTCCACGCAACGTCCATACAGTTTACAATCGCTACCGCGAAAAAATTGCATCGCGTTCTTTCCTTTCGTTCAATGGGCAACCGTTCTCATTCATTTAACGGGGCCAGTAATTCAAATTTCTCAGACTCGTTATCGGTGCTCGCGGAGAAAGCGCTCGTTATGAAAATTTCTCGACACACCTCCCGTTTGTCCACCGTTCGCGCAAACATGTTCGTGGAAACGGCTGCGTACGGCGGCAACAGTCACGTCCGTGCGAACATGCAACTCCGTTATTAATAATACGGAAAGGGAGCGTGCGTGTACGAGAGACACGAAGAGGGAGAAAGGGGAGACTCGTACAGTTTATCGCGGTTCATTGCATTAAACCGCACACGCCTAACTCATCAGGGAATTTTCTCGCGCGGCGCGCGCAATTTCAACGCGGGCATCGAAACTCATACCCCGACGCGGCGAGTCGATAACGATGTGGCTTACGTGATAATACGAGCCCCAGAATTTCTAAGTTCTCCCTGATTTACATTGAGACAGCCAGACGGTCCAAGTCGGAGCGAAAATCGGAGATTTTCCTGCCAAATTATTCAACGGACGCGTTATCTGTCTCCTACGGTTTCATTAACGAGCAATTAGCGCGGCGGACGTATCGATCTCAATATTAGAAAGCAACGAACAGCAACGTTCAGACACGAGCTGATTATCGGTTCATCGTGCACGTTCGAGAACAAAATTTCAGTCCAAGGATGGAGACTGCAACGCTCTCGACGTTTAATTAGAAAAGAATCTCGGTACGACCCTCGTAAAGTTTCATTTATCGAGCCTGTTTACCAGGTAGAATCCGGACAGATGAAGCGGCAATGGGGAGAATTCTGCCAACGGTTAATTGCGTAATGCAGCAATTGGGGAGTGACTTATATACTTTCGCGTACTTTACTACGTAGCGAACTGCAACCGCTGGGAATCTCCCTGTTGGCACTGTACACTTTGCACGGTATCCTGAAACTAACGATCGAAGTTTATCGTATAGTCGATAAGGACATAACACCAGATATGAGGCGAACACGGCGATCGCGGTGGAAGCTTTACGAGGAGTCTCGACGTTGAGTACATCGGAAATTCTTCTTTAAACTTAATCTCGGTGTACTTCCTAGCGGAGAAACCGAAATACACTCTCGCATTCATCGCTGTAGCTACACGATTCCTCTACTTTATCGCGATACGTTACGCACATTGTTTACAAGAAATATAGCGCAAGGATCTTATTACATTAATGTTAAGCGCACAAGCTAACGTGGACTTCGCGTATTCTCTGATGTTCGAGGTACACCTCCCAGTGATGGGACTGATTTCTGTACACTTATCGTAGACAAATTTCTGCGCTCGATGAGACTTCTCTCCGCAGAGTTTCTGCGATTAAAAGCGCACTTCGGACTTCCGTTATCTCGAGAGCGAGATTTGATTAACACTGATTTAATTTCATCGAGATCGAATTACGCGGATGTCCGCGAGGTTCAAGAATAGCGTTTCGTGTGTGGATCGCGTGTTATTTTTTTAAACGGACGGCCGACATGCGAGATCGCGAAAACGTCGCGATAGAAATGACAGACATTACCATCAATTATGGATTCCCGCGTCCCGAAAAGATGACAGTGAATTAAATACAATCTGCGACACCGTTTCGTTCGCGGTTTGCCCGCGAGATAATACGTTACGATCGACGACGCAGCATCGCGCAATCAACTTTAATCCCCGTCGGCCGCGCAATTTGTTTTCTTGCTGGCCGACTCCTACGTTTACGATTCCATTTCCTCGACCTCGGAAACGTTCGAATCGAGTCCCGACAACAGCGTCTTATTCGACAGTGACGTAAACGCGAACAAAGAAATCGGGAACGGTGGTCATGCAAACGCGTAATTACCGCATTACTAATAATACGCCGACCAGAATGGATTTATGCGTGTCCCCTTGCATTACGGGAATTACCGGAAACGCTGTCGCGAGGTATATTGTTCGACGTGTACAATCGATCGCGAACGCGACGAACAAAAGCGAGCGACCACGGCTCTGTCCGCGGAATGATTTTCTCCTCGCTCGAAATCAGTGTTTTCTCCTTCGTTCGAATTCATCGGAGACCTACGAATCGTCGGAACCATCGCGCGTCGTTTCGACGCCGCTGTTGGGTTCGGCTTCGAGTGTAATCACTGGAAATCGAACGCTCGTCCGCTGCTTTTGATGATTATTGGTACAATAAAACCACCCTGGACACTGGTTGCTGGACTGTAGATGTTTACGCGCGAACAATGCGAAACGTATGCGGAGTATGTCCACGTGTATACGAAACAATAGGAAACGCAAAATATATGCGCGATTATGTAAAATTAATGGCAAAATATGCACGGCACACGGTGTGTGTATAAATACGTGTCAATTTGTAATAATTTCAGAAGTGAATTCTCTTCCTGTATTATAATCTCGTGATAGGTACATGTATTCCGTATATATTACGAATGCTTGAAACCTGCACACTTATATTAATGCGGATATGCAAAATGGACTTTCGAAACACGGAACCGATTTCTGTCGTTTAATTCCATATAAGTATGAGTTAGATGGGGCTCGTTTAATAAAGGATACACATTTCACGGAGTAGCGATTGCTAATTCATGGCATCGCTGATCTCTCTGATAAGAAGGTCCCACGGTTAAAGCTATCATATAATCGGATGGTGCATAAAATATGCTCAACTCCGTTCGGAGCAAAGTACGATGTCCGGAGAAAGCTCGTCAAAATAGGAACTGCGATTCGCTTATTTTTCAGATCACTATTTGCGCCCCAAGAGATCCATTCATAGAAAACCGTACAGGAAATGTCGCGCGTTTCAACGAGGTTTGTCTTTCTACGATCGATGTACGCTTCTCGCTGGACTTATTTTTCGATATAAAATTGAAAAATAAATCACTCACTTTTCTTATGTCGATTGATGCTTATGCCCAGTCCGTCTTCCCTCTTCCACATCACTTTTGGCGCGGGATATCCGTCCGCTTTGCACGTCAGGGTGATGTTCTGATTCTCTCGAACTGCCACGGTGCTCTCCGTGGACAACGCGTCTACTATGTTCGGTGGCACTTGTACGAAAAACAAACAGAAACCGTTGAAACAGAGTATTACCCGGAAAATTGACAGCAGCGCGACCCGTTTGACATTTCGACATTTAATCAACGAACCTCGCTGATCAACAACTCGTGTACAATAGATCCGCCCGCGGTTCTGCACGTGTGCTCGTGACCTTTCCCCACCCTGATTACGTTACATTGCGCGTTTTACAAACGGCGCAGACCCTTAGCTTGCTCCCCTATCGGCTACGGAGGGTGGAAAGAGAAAGAGCGAGGGTCCCACGAGAGAGGGCCCAAATCGTGGACAGATCCGATGTACAGGAGGGGTCAGCGATATTTACACCGAATATATTTTACACCGATGATATTGTTGCATAAAATATTAACGCAATAATTACAATTAATAATTAGACACAGATTAGCATTCGATATTCAGCTATTATCAATTATACACGTCACGCACACGCAGGTCGCGCATCTCTAGCGTGTATCAACGTTAACCCATTCGAGATCGATCGCGCACCGTGCGTGCAATAATAATAACGAGCAATTATCCGTTATTCCGAGTAAAGTAGCCGTCGAGATAAGACGTTTTCTGAATGAATGGTATCTGTAAAGTGTAGAAAAATAAAATTTGCCATTGGTACGTTCGAGTTGCACCGACTGCGAGAAGCGATCTTGTAAATACCGGTCGTTTAAAAACGGACTTTTGTTAAGGTGCTTATTTATCCGCTCACGGCGCATAAAGTATTAATAATCCCATGCACCGTCGGGCCCTGTAAGCCGCTGAAAGAAGATTAAGTATGCTTACCAACAACTTGAAGGTAGCCGACCTGGCTGATCATAGGGTTTGTGTTTACTTGGCACATATACCAACCCCTATCGTCTTGTTGCACGCTGGTTATGTGAAGCAACCAGGTTTTCTGGTTGTCGTGCGACACCGAGAATCTCGGTATCTTCACGACCACGTGCTTGTGAACGGTGACCAGCATCTGACGACCCACGTGAATCCACGCGACCTGCAAATACGATTACTTATTATCCTGGCCGGAGTAGTCGTAGGTAACATATTATTATTTTCTATCGTTCGATGGCATGATAACGCGATCCACAAGGGCAAGGGTACCATTTGGTGCACGCGGATTCCGTACGGGATCCCTGAATCCGAGCATCGACGAGCACGTTGCCCGAATCGTTGACCAATTCGACGCGAAATTGTTCATACGCGATGAACTTCACGGTCGTCTACAGCGAAGGATCCTTCGAATTTCCCTTCGTCAATGGGCCGAGAGTCATTGGACGCTCCACAAGTGGTGGTGTGCAATACGGGGAAACGGCAAAGCGCGCCAAGCGTCGAGTCGCGCCGCGTCGGGGCGAAAGAGAGAAAGAACGCGGTCGTTGGAGCGACTGCGACGACAGTCACGGTGCAACCGGGCTGCATCAGAAATCCTATGAACAAACATTATTACGACCGTATTTCACGCTCCGCTGAGCTAACGTTCCCCTAACTAAGCTCATTCCACGACAAAGCTTATGCACTTTCGAGGATTTCTGGGTTAAACTGGCTGCCCCTCGGCCCCGGCCCAACCCCTTCCGCGGCGCTGCCGTGCTCCCGGCTGGCACTTCTTCTTTTTCATTTCCTTGGCAACGCTCGAGAACGCTCGGTTGCGCGAAATCGCCACTTTTCCTCATTTTTACTTTCTGCCACTTTCGGCGTATCTCGGGAACGTAACGCAGCAACAACTCCTCGTGCGCTTGTCGGCGATGAATTACGACCGGCCGCCCTCCTCCGCCGTTCCTCTTCAACGTTCGTCCGTGCCCCATCCGAGCCAATCTTTCGTGCCTGAGCATTTTTTCCATCTCGCTAGGACTTATGCGCGTCGATTATCGAGGCGCGCGAAAGTGTTGTGTGTGTGTGTTTGTGTTTGTGTTTGTGTTTGTGTGTGTGAATTACTACGTGGAGCTGAGCGAGTGCAATTATGTTGTTGGATTGAGGTATCGATTGCAACGCCGAAAACCTACGGCCAGCGGGGAGGGACGAAGCAGCGTGCGTTGCGTCGCGTTGGTTACAAAACAGAAGCGGTCGAGAATCGTGTGTGCCGAGACATTCATTTCAATAGTACTTATTTTTTCTTTCTTTCTAAATTCATTCTATTAAAGCTTATCTCAAGTTCATTCCTACAGTAGGTTATAAGACAAAGCAGCGTGCGTTGCGTCGCGTTGGTTAAAAAACAGAAGCCGGCGGGAGTCGTGTGTGCCGAGACGTGTATTAAGCTGGCGTAGCCATTTCAAAAGGCCAACGCCAAATTAACACGATATTTCTTTGCTATTTATGCCGAGACATTCATTTCAATAGTACTTATTTTTTCTTTCTTTCTAAATTCACTCTAATAAATCTCAACTTCATTCCTACAGTAGGATATAAGTGGATCTGGGTGTAACAGGCCCAAGGCGTACGTTCTCGCCTTTTAAAGAGTCAAGTTGCGCGGCTTATATGGTCCCCCCGTTACATTTGTCGCTTCGCGGAACACGAGATCGCGTAACTACCTAGCAAGCACCGCGCGAGAGGCACAATCGCGCTATCGGAACTGCTTCTTTAAATCTTCGAACCGCGTTAAAGGACGCCATTCTTCGAGAAGAGAAAAGAAAAAAAAATGTTTCACCAGCGGATAATAACCAAATTAAAATAATTACGAAATGATCTCTCGGGGGCTCTTACGCGGTGGCTCGAGGCTGAGATCTCGTTAGTCTCGGGATAGATCCGCCCCAGATTTCAAAGCCCATTACCGATCAAACGTCAGGGGATGAGAGATTGGATTCATCGCGAGGCGACCGATTCGTTGATTTAATTTGTCGAAAGGATCAAAGAGGCGCGAGCGAACCGGCTGTCAGGTGCTCGAAGGAACGTCATATCCGCGGAGATTAAACCATAGTCGAACTCTCGGTTAATCCTTGGTTTCGGGTACAGCCGCATCGCGCTCTGTGCCGAGCGCGTTTCATACAAATTAGCTGCGTTGAAATTTTCAGCGGGAATTCGGTAGATCGTTTGCGTCCGTTGTATTAACCGCGAACCCTATTGTCCGGATAATGCGTAAAATAACGCTCGTCGGGACGAAAATGTCTGACGTGCTTCGTTATAATGTTCCCGAAATTAATAAGCTATCGGTTGCAGCTATTTATCCAAGAAGAAAGGCCTCGAACGCGAAACTCGAGAATATACTTAATTAAAAAAATTCGCTAGATCCAAATTACAGCTACGTTCTCGCGACATACGGAAAGAAATAAATGGAAACCTACATCGAAATGCTTTCGATTCGAGGCTCGAACTCTACCTGTTGGCGGTACTTGTCGTCGAGAATTTGTCACGCGTAGCTGTCCATGACCAGCCGTCCAAGAAGTCGACGCATTCGAGAGAGAGAGAGAGAGAGAGAGAGAGAGAGAGAGAGAGAGAGAGAGATCGTGAAAAGTGAATTGCGCGTCCCCGCTCGAGAAACTTGTTTGTCTGGGTGACGCGTAGTGGTAGCCACCGACGCAGCATTGGACTTTAAACGGTCCTCGGCAAAAGCTCGTGGCCTCGATTGAAATCCCTGGCACTGGTAACTGGTACCGCTACGCTACCCTTATGCGACGTGGAAAAAGCGTTATTCCGTTCGCAGGTCTTTTTTCTTTTTTTCTTCGCGACGAACAACGACCCGGGTGATCTTTGTTACGATATATCATTTATCCGAAAATTGATCGCGCCTTTCCCCTGGAAATATATCTAGCTATCATTCTCGGAGATTTCTGTATTCGAAACCGTGCAGCACTGCGGAGTAACTCAGGATTACTTTATTCGGTAACTCGGTGTCAGGTGTAAACGACCGTGTTTCGGGTCAACAAACGTTGACAATTTTTCATGGGTGTATACCAAGGGATTACCAGTGCTGTTTTTTCCGTGTTCCAAACATTAGCGGATAGAAAACTATTTTAACAAGCTTCCTGATGGTTTACTCGATAATTATTGTCCAGCCCCGGTCGAAATTATTAATTTTTCGATTCACTAACGTAAATCAGCCGCCGTCATGGACGATTCCGCGACCGATACGATGCAATCTGGATTTGGCGCTCGACTCGGTCATTTTTCGACGCTTCCGATCCCGCGTGCCGGCGGCTGTCAACCGAATCGAGATTTTCGCTTCCAAATGACCGCCGCGCATGAAACGGACAAGAGGAAACGAGGCTGAAAAAGAGTGTAAATAAAATGAAAAGCGCAAGGTGGGGTAAAAAAAAAAAAAAAAAAAATATCGAAAAACGATTACGAGCGTTCGTCGATTAAAACGCCGCGAATTTAAGCAGAGTGTCGTTCACCGGTGTCGATCCATTTTCTCGACGCCATGACGCGAGATGCGAAGCGTCGCTGTGAACTGTCGAGCTGGCATACCTCTCGAAAACCGAACGTAACCGTATAGTTAACGCAATTAAAGATTCGCAGCGGGGCGTGCGTGCAATTTTACGAACGCCTCGCGACGTTTAATTGCGACAAATTTAGATTCGTTGCGTTGATAAAGCCGAGACTTCGGGAAAGACGCCCGGGCGTCGGTAACTTCTAACTTCGCCGGGCATCCCCGCGAGTGACAGTAATTATACACTGACAGTCAGCATTCCACTCGCAAGGTATACCGAGTCACGTGCCGTCTTAATGCCGCAAACTCGCTTCAGAATTTACATTTCGCTTTAAATACGTGCTCGAACAACTGTCCCTCTCGCTCCGCGCGTCCCGATGCCGAGCCGTCGTCAGAATTCGCAACCGGGGCTCTTCCGGTCGATGGAAACGCTTCTGGATCGCGGAAACGAGACGTCTTCGTCGTAGGTGACGGACAGTCGAGTTTAACGAGGTACGTACCTCTACGAGTTACCAGAGATCGATTCCATTTTATTTTCTTACGCGACGTTTACGCGCGATACGATGGAGAACATTCCGTGGAAGATGGATTCATAACGGGATCGATTTCGACACGATCTGGATCGTGTATTTTCCAAACTCTTGCCGACGCACGTACAATCGACGTAAAGTGTATAGCAAGAACGGAGGGAAAACTGCGGTCTGCGTAACGAAGGAGATTAATACCGTCACTGGTCAGACACGCCGGCCTGCTCCCCTTCTCTGGACTCCAGTAACCAGACAGAACGGTTCAGCGTCTCGGGTATCATTGGATCGGGCCAGCGAAGTCGTAGACCGTGAAAATAAGTAGTACACTTCGAGATTACGCGAGCATCCCGAACAGTCGACCACCCGATCCGCAATTTAACCCTTTCAGCGCCGAACGAAAAACGGCTGCCTATACGAAGATTTTTTCTAATTCTCTTGGAATGAAATTAGGCCGTTCACAACGTTTCATACATTTATTTTCAGATAGAGCTTTCTCGCGATGCGAACAATAAGGCGCCGTCGCATACGGAACGACATGTCGTCGTTGGCACTTTTCGAACGACGATATATCCGGCACTGAAAGGGTTAATTATCCTCCGCTCTGCCATAGAACTGTTACTGGGACGGATGAGCAGGGGAGGAGAGCGAGGAAAAAATGTAACGGAATGTGACTCGAGAGCATAACGAGAGAGAATGCCGGATGAAGGCAGGGAACGTCGAAGAAAGAAAGAGGAACGTCGGAGCGGTGTCAGTCCGACGGCGCGACGGGGCAGCATTTAGCGTCGAGAAGGGTTGCCCGTTTTAATCAACTTTGCAAAAATATTCCCCGCTTTTGCCGGTGCTCAGTCGTTAGGCCGAGTTTGATTTCCCCCAAGATCGCTCTTCTATTTCCCTCTTCTGTTTAGCTTTAACGTCGTTGGACCGTTTTTACGGCGGATACGCCGCCGACAGCTGGTCCATTCCGGAAACAGACCTTTGTCTCGTCACCGAGACGTTTATTAATTCCCTTTGCCTTGCGCTGTCCGCTGCTCGGCCGAAACGCGGTATCGATTCCCTGTTTTATAAGCAAACCTTGACTGACGCCGCACCAGGAATTCAGAGGAAAACGGAAGATCGCCGCTTCTCCTTTCTCGAGTTCGTAAATTACATTTTAAGGGAACAGCGTGACCTACTTCTTGCCATCTTGTGAATCGTGACTGTAAGGTTACCAACCATCGACTACAGAAGAAAATAGGTGGTACGGTGAAGTCTCCTTAAATGCATAAATTCCTCTAGCACAAGTGCACAGAAACCATACGTAATTGCTTCAATAATTATCGTGGCCAAGAAAAATATTGTTTTTGTCGTATGTATGTTCGTACTGGTTGAGTTATTTCTTGAATTTACATAAAGTTTTTTTTTACATTAATGAAGGAATGTTATGCGTAGATGCATGCGGCGTAGTGCAGGCGAGTAGTGCATCGATCGTTAATGGGAATCGGAACCTCGCGCGCCGTGACGGCGAAAGAATTCACGCTTATTCGCCGTATTCATTGTTGTTATTGTTGTTAATAAATAGTTTCAGAGTACGAACCGTCTTTTTCGGCACCCTCCCAACCACGTCCTGCATTAATTCTTAAAGAAATATTGCCGGGACCTGGCGACATTCGACTGCGTATATGCGCGAACGTTAAAGTGTTAATCGTCGAACGTTATCGCGTCTTTTATTCGGTGTTCCCTAACCGCGTCGAATAAATCATTCCGGGTGCGCGTGTCGGCGACGACGATCGTCGATGGCGGCGCGGTCGCAGTCGTCGGATCTCGAGCACGAGAGCTAACTCGACGATTTATCGAAGCGGTAATTAAAAATAATTTCAGAGATCGCGAGATCCGGCACGGCATCCACCGAGCGGCGCCGACGCTTGACGCACTCGCTGGTAATCCGGTTAGCAAATTAATTATTAAATTCATTTCCTAATTAGGTAATTACCGAGAGCACTCGAGCGTGCCGCCTCAACTTTTGCTCCCGGAAGGGCCTGCTGCCAGCCAGCGGATTTCCGCGCGCGTTCGTCCCCCGCGAATAATGGACGAACGGTGAAAGTTCTTTCCGTGGCCGAGGATTAAATACGATTCGCAATATCTTAAGGAAACGGCCAGCGTCGTGAACGCGTCCCTAACGGAGAAACTTTTGCAAATCCCGTTTGATTTGTTAATATCGGCGTGCTGCGAAGTAACAGCGTTACGGAAACTTGGACGGCTGCAAAATAGCTTCTGCGCGTGTCGATTGTTTCGTTCTAATTTGGTCAACAACGGAGAAGGAAAACGATCTCGCCAAGCGAACGCTTCGCTTTTCGCGAACGAAACTTTGCCCACTGTACTCGGATTTCAGCGTTCTGTTTCGTAGCAAACAACATCCCAAGGCCTCGGCTGCGAAATAAAAATATTTCAAGTTGAAGAAGGTCGAGGTGATCCGAGAAAAGGAAACCCTTGGCTTCGGTTCTTTCTACGTTTTTTTTTTTTTTTTTTTTTTTTATTAATTCTGATCTCCGAATCCTCACGCGGCTGGCGCAATTTATTTTTAATTCGCTGCAGCGCGGGAGCGGTCTTCCGAAATCACTGCTGAAATTTATCCCGCGGCCATTTAAAAGAGTTCCTGCGTAACTCCCAGTCGGAACAGTGCCGGCTTCCTGATATAATTAAATTCAGGAAAATTGACAAAGTCGTACGGTTTCTTCGAGTTAACCAGACATCGAGGACTATTCGTCGGATTCGAGGGAGAGGAAAGGACAGGGTGACAGAGGGAACGGCGACGCGGAAGGGGTTAGAGGGCTTTGGCGGCCTCGCAGATGGAATTTTCTGGTGTTTTGATCAAAGAACTCGTCCAACTTTCCATCCGGGACTTCGTATTCGTTGAACGTCGAGTCTAATGAGACTGCCAGATACTCGGCTAGCAGCACACGTATCGAATCCGAGGAGAAAATCGTTCGCAAGCCGTACGTACCCGCCGATTGTTACTCTCGAAACGGGGTTCGAGAATAGACAGGGCGAGTAGAACGCGTCTCCGTCTGTTTCGACCGTGGATGACTGTAAATAACGGACGAAGCTGGGACGAGGTAAACTTTCTTTCGACGCTTGATCGAAAACCATCGGTGAAACCAGAACGGAAGGATAATGGGAATTCCGAGGAAAAGTGAAAAAATTACTCGCGATAAACGTTGAACGTCCCTGTCGGACGTGTTTGCAATCCAACGTTTCGCAATTGAAAAGAATGGTAGTTTAACGACGACCGTCTAACCAGGTTCACGCCGATAGTGTTTTTCCGAACGCATGGATCCATACGACTCCAATGGTTAAACGTTAGAATTCGATAAAACCCGATGAACTCTTTTCTCAACGTGCGCCGTCGATATTATTTTTGTCGTCGGTAGTCAAGCACGATGAATATTCAGTTCTCGAATATTTTCTTTTCTGTTTCGTACGCGCGGAAAAGGATCGTTCGTTGTTATTGTTTACTTGGATTCAATTTTGGATAGGAATATTATAGAGCGTTAGCCAGCCGTGGGAGGTGCGGGTAAATATTTTGCGCGGCGTGCCAGTCGTAAAGAGATTCGCGAATTTTTTTAAAATATTTGCATTTAATTCCGACGGTTTTCGTACCGCCAGACAGATTTCATGGCGCATCGATGCTCAATTAATGTTTCAGAGCGGTTTCGGATGAATCAAAGCCCGGCCGATCGTAAATCAATCGCAGCTAATTTACCATCGTCATTATTACCTCGTACAATAAATTTCGTTCGTTCAGCCACTTTTTATCGATTCATCGTTATTCGCAATATTCAGTCTCTATCGTATCGCGTACGAGGTAATTACTTACCCTGCGAGCGTCCAGCTTCCCGATCAATGAAAAATCACGCTGTTCCACGCTCGAAATCACAACGAGTATAACTTTCTCGATCGTCTAACGCTGTTTCTCGTTATTATACGCTTTCGCGCGACTTCATCGAGTCTCCTCGGTGATTCGGCTGCGAAACAAATTTCCACAGCGAATTCGCTTGTTTGCCAGACAATTTCGAGTCGGTTTCGAAAGTAATCGGTGTCCCGCGTCCTCCGCGATTACGTAACGGCGCCCGCAACGTTGGTTAAAACGCGGTTGGATTCGGAGACAAAGTTTCGAGACAATCGCGCACGGATCGCCAAGGAAAATTCCTTCGTCTTTTTCGCGCTGCTTTAGGAAAGAAACGACAGATCGAGATCACCTATCCATAGGAAAGGTATTCCTGGGAATCGCGGTACGTAGTGCTAATAACGCGGCAGCGATGCAACGGAGGTAATCGAACGAAAGACGAATGCGAGCGGTACGCGAGGCGCGCATTACGTTTCCGGTCTCCTGTTCCTTCCTTCTATGTAGTTTTCTCCCAGAATTCCTTCTCGCTTAATGATTTACGATCGCGAAAACGTAAATGGTAGAATAATGCGGAACACGCTGCGCGTTACCCGGTAGATATTACCGTGATGCCGCAATCTAGTACAACGACGCAAACATTTCTCGCGATTGCGTTTCGTCTTTCCTACCTCGACGTTCCTTTTTTCATCGATAACCCGGAGAGCCGGCAAACGAGCCACCCTTTGTTGGTTTTCTTTCTCCTTGGATTAAGAAGGTTCCTTCCCAACTGTACTAGTCCAAACAAAACTACAGAAAGTATCGATAACGATGTGTTTTCTGTAATAAAATTTTGTTAAAGAATAAAAAAATTTGTTTCCAGATACCGCACAACGGCGATGTTTAATGTACGACGAAAGGAAACAATCACCCTCGATCGTTTCGACGATCATTCTCTATGACGATCGCGTCTCGACGATTCGTCCCAGCGCCGACTCCTCTTTCTCTGTCGTTGTTTATTAACAGACTGTAGGAAAATTGTCGTCCCGAAATTGAACAAAGCCTCGCCCTCCATTGTTTCCGGATCCGCGTATTTGCGTTTCAGATTTTGCCGGTGTCGTCGCTTTCGTGTCGTCCGGAATCGGTCGTTGTCTCATTTATTAACGGATCAGCGTCACAAACTGGAATATTCAATACCGTTTCGATATCCTTTTATTCCTACAACGTCCGCAGGACTTTATTTTTGCACGTACGAGCTGGCAGCGCCGCGCTGTTTTATTAACTTTGATAATATTATTCCGCTTTCGTTGCAATATTTTCTTCCCGGGGAAACGTATGGAGCCGTGCGAAGAATCGATACATCGGAAGCAGATACCCGTAAATATTTCAGAACGGCTCCGCTCCAGCCAGCGTTACAATGTCTGCAACGGCATTTATTATTTACTCGCGATGGCGCTGCGTTGCGTAATAACGGGGTCTTGGACGCAGGTTACGTAAGCGCAAAGTCCTGGTTGCATATTGCATTTCACTGCATCGCCGCGCGAACGTCTCGCGAGACGGTTCTGGTCGAGAAAATACCTGGGCACGCGTAAATTCAAGGGCGACAGTCTCGTCGATGATTCAGGATTCCGCCTATCGTCCTTTACATCTCCCCCCAAACGAAATGTTTAGGTACGTCGAGAAGAGTCCGTGTGACTTAAAACGTCCACCGGAATAACTCTTTCACTTTCAAAGATAGAAACGCGATGCCCGAGGTAGAAATCGCTCGGTCTCCAGGGGGATGCGACGCGATATTTCCGTTATCGCGTAGAAACGTCAGGGACGTTTAATAATTTTCGTAAAGAGTTCAAAGAGTCACGTGCACTTAAGCAAGGTGGTTTTCCCTATTATCGCGCCATTAAGCGATCTCGCTCGCTCGTTGATCGAATATTAAAATACCTGACTCTAAATTTATTCGATCAAGATGAAAATTGGTATCTAAACCCACTTGGAAATTTCGTCGTTTCGGAGCCATGCGGATTGATCGTTTGGTTTAATTACCTTGTAATTACCGAGGTTTTCCACGACGCAGGGTAGGCTGACGTCTCTCCCCAGTGGCACCGTGACGTTCGGTATTGGCTCGGCAAACATTGGTTGATCGGAGAGAGCTGCACAGAGAAATCGAGGAAACCTTCGTTAACATTTAATAATTAACGTTGACGCGATATTCGTGCACTCTTCGTTAAATATTTTGTCGATCGGAATTATAGATACACGCGTTAGTGTTTCAAGAATTTCGGCATTTTTCATCATCGACGCGCTATTTGCATCGGCTGAGGATATCTTCTGCTCGAAAATTTCGCGTCGTCGACCCAAATAGACGACACGACGGCGAAGGGGTGCAAGCTACCAAAGGAGAGGAAAAGGAAAGGGAAAAGGAAACGGAAACGGAAAGGGAAAAGAAAAAGGAAGGAGGGTCACCGCGAGTCACACCAGTCAAGAAATCCTTTGGGAAAGTTTCAGGATTGGTCAAGGGTGAAGTAAGAGGGCAGTTGGTTGATCGCTCGACTGGAAGAGGGAAGCCGTCGATTCCATTCCTACGCTGTATTTATCGGAAGTGTAGGTAGGAAGGAGCGAGACACACCGTTGGGAAGCTACCTCGTCGACGTTTCGCGATAAATGTTTGGGAACGAAGAGGTCGAGACGCTGCGCTATTTATTACGGTTCATTTTTCGTGCGAACGTAAATGTTTTTCACGGTCCCAACAGTCCGGGGGCAATTCTAGCGCGACAGCTCCAAAAACAGATGAACCTCCAGAATTTTTCTGTTGGAAACCTATCGATACTTTGCGGACGCTGTTAAGATAAAGGAAAAGAAATCGATTTTAGTTTCAAGTTTGGCGCGCATTGTTAGACGCGACGGCGCTGCGTAGCTTGGCGCACACCGTTTTTGTTTTAATTGCGAACGTTCATTACGCGCAAAAATACGTTGTAAGCAAGCGGTCGTGTAATATATCTTCTACGATAAATTATCCTTTTTGCAAAACCTCAATAGACGAGTATCGGCATATAGTCGCCCAATTTAATTCGTAGCTGCGAGACGAATTACGGAGCCGCGCACGTACGTCTGTCGTTCTGAACGATAAGATACGCATGTGTAAATTAACAAACAATCGTTTCCTTTTAATGAAACAAGAGACCTTTAGCGATGGAGTCTTATCTTTTGTATACTGTAATCTCACGATGTGAGACGATGCCGGACTCGGGAGGAATTTCAGTTTATCGAGTCAGTTTCTCAGCACCACTGCCAAAAGAACCAGCAGTCTCTTCATACATTTTCTATTTTATAACAACTTAAACAAAATTCTTCTAAAAAATATATCCCCCAGTCCCAAACAAATCCCAGCTCATACATTTTCCCCCCTAAATCTAGACACAAAACCCTCGATAACTGTGCGAACATCGTGATTTTACACTCTTTGCTGCCGCTGCGTGAGAACGCGGCCCGTTAACCGTACATTGTTTACATTTCCGTCTACGTCGCATTTCGTAGCGATTCCCTACGACGTACTCGTCGGACTGCGACGATCCTCGTCGAGTTTGGGCCCCGTAATCGCGAACTGCTCGTTCGTTTGATACCGGTAGTTAAGGTCGTAGGTGTAGGGTCCCGTAGCCGCGGAACGCGGCGCGTTCAGAATATTCTAAACGCTTCGTCGCCTCGTAAATCAGCGAAATACCACCGGATAGCTTTGCATACCTATCGTCGGCGCGATTACTCGCGCGCTGCGAATCTTACGCGGCTAGTAGTCGAGTCCGACAAGTGTTCGGAGGATCGAGATCGGTTAGCGCAGTGCTTCGTTCGAATGTTTCTTATTTCTGTTACGGAAATGGAAAACTATTTCCGGATATGTATCTTGGAGTAATCATGTGCAGCCGGTCAAATGTAATATCAATGGCATCGACGTATCTTCTATATAAAGTTTGTTCTTCAATACTGCCAGTGTTCTATTTAAAGTGCAGTGTTCTATCCATGTATAGCTACGGAATGAAGAGCGGAAGTAATATAGATATAAAGGGTTGTATTATCGCGTGATCCACGATATCTACGCGAATAATCGATTCATCAACATGCAAGCCCGATAATAAAAACTATTATGTAGTGTTGGAATACACGACCGGCAAAAATCAATCGACACCTGACGCGCAGGACGCGCGAGAGGATGTTTAAATATACACTCTTCGAACGAACGAACACGTCTGTTAACGAATGGTCTCTTTTTCGACTAACCTTTGTCTGGACCCTGTGACTAGGATCTTTCAAATTTCAGAAGCCTGTCAATTTGAACCGTCGATTTGTAAACATTCGACGATACAAATACAGGGATATAAATACAGCCCGAGGTGTCGATCGGCCACAGATCGTCAATAAACGGCGTACCTTACAACAATTATTTAATTACCCATTTCCAATATCTGGAGTAAAATTAAGTCGCGATAACTCGCGATAAGTCGGTGCATAATTGATCGCGCGAGCACGCGTTCGTCCCGATTTCCCGAGGATCGCGTGTACACCGTGCACCGGCCAATCGCGAGTGCGGTGTTCTGTGAAAAACGGAACACTATCTTTTTCTACGCGGTTCGAGCGTGTTCCGCGCCGTTGGCCGCGGCACTGGGAACACGAATGCAGGCGTAGCACGTTCTGTTTCGAGCAGTCGATTTACGGCTGCAGAACCAGTCGGTCGTCGTCGCGCGACTTGCGACTTTCGAAACGGCAAAGACGACACGTCCGTTCGATTCGCGTCTCGATCGTTGCGTGGATCGGTTCGACGTCCGACGGGGGACGTTGTCGCGCTCGAGTCTTGGCTAACGTAGCCCACGCGTCTTCGGAATCGGAACACTACTGTGGATGGGGTTCGGTAGGACGTGGTAAAATGCAGTTGGGCTCGTGCCGAAGAGTTTGGATCGCCGTAGAGAGACAAGGAACAACCGGGGAGACGGATTCGAAAATTTACGAGCCATTCCAAGAGTAAACCGTGACGGTTCGCGACAAGCTTTCCCATCGGACACCTGTGCCCCGCATACGGACACCATCGACGACATTCAGCGACGAAGGTGAAGCATCGATCCCGCCGATAGAAGACCAAGGCTCAATCCTTTCATTTCGTGCAACTCGCGGACCATTCGGAACCCTTTCGAAACACCTGTACCTGTACCTGTACTCTCGGCCATCGAAGACTGAACTAGAAATTAAGCGAATCTATAATTAATCTTCGACAAGCGTTATCGATCCTACCCGGTGTACAAAAAAAAAAAAAAAAGAGCGCAGCGAACTTTGAGATTCGCGATGAAAGACTTTCCGCGCTCGAATTTCAGTATACCGGATGGTTGAAAGCGAGGGCGTCGAGCGTCGCGCTTGGGGCGAAGGGGAAATAATAGAAACGGAAAATCGTTTGATTTTAACCGATGACGGGTACCCATCGAGTGCGCGCTAATTAGAAGTTTCGATCGTTTCGCGCTGACGGATACGCGGAGGAAAGTGTTTCGTGCTCGTTTCGCAATTTTCTCTTTCCTTCCGTCGCGTCGATTCGCGTCATTAACCAGGGAGCACCTTTCAATCGAACCAAACCGGATAACCTCGCGGCCCATTTTTTCCACCTCGCGTTAATTTTCTCCGGATGCGTACGTAGCGAGCACGGTTCCGAAAACGGGACAAAAGCGTTTGGAAAAAAAGCGTGCAACAGAGAGAGAGCGAGAGAGAGAGAGAGAGAGAAAAAGAGAGAGGAGTTGCAACGATTTCTTCCAGAGGAAACTCGTTTCTTCGACTGGAGAAATTCATAGTCGCTCGTCGATCTCCTTTATCGTTTCTAGTCGCGCGGTAAATGCGTTTTCACCTACCATTGACTGCTTATTTACGACCCCGACGGAATTAAGAAGCAATATACCGGGTGGTTAAATTCGCCTGAGAACCGTTTCGATGGTATATTATCTGTACAAGACGCGGCGGTAACAGTTTCTCCCACGTGAATTCCTCGCGCGAAAATAGATAGAAATCGCGAAAGGACGGAACGTGAAACCCTGGAATATTTAAAGTCATCGCGGCACGTTTGTCGGTGCATTCGCCGAAACGATACCGCGACATGCTTCTCGTATCGGTTATCTAAAAATACCACCGGGTCCTGATCCAGATATTCTTTCGTGCTAGTAAAACCGAAGGAAACGTTGGTAACGCGCGAGGTGGAAGTAAACGCACAATCCTTCGTCCAGAAAGTGAAAGGGCACTTCTTCTCTACGGTGTGAATAATGAATACCTCGCACTAACAGGTGCTTCGAAGAAACGAGAAAGACGTCCGCGATGTTTCATTCGTTGCAGTGAAGTTTATCTAAGATCTGTCGCGAATTGTACGCATTTATTCTTATCGTCGTTGGCTTCATTTTCCAACCTCGAGCACTGAACGCTAACATTCTCAACTGCATCGTCCAAGTATCCGTTTCCTTCTCTTCGTACATCTGCCGATAGCTTAGCGATGTTGCGCTAAATGAATCATACTGTGACTAATTTTTCAACGTGTCGTAACACTCGCAACGAATTCGAGTAAGCATCATCGGGATTGCTTTTACTCGACCGTTCAGTGTTCCCTTAAACATGGCTGTACAGTGTACGACTGTACACCAAAGATCGAACGCAACCGAAAGCAAACGAACGTTCGCGCGTTGTTTGGTGCATAGGCGAAGACAAGCGTTCCGATGGTACACGAGTACGTCGCGTAATCGAGTCAATAAAATCCGTATTGGTTCTAGCGACGAAGAGAACACCGATGCGGAATAGAATTTCCGATGAGGTCAGGATCAAAGGACGTCGATATGAAATCTTGGATCTCCGGCAAGTCCAGCTTGATCGTCCTCTCGACGTTCGCATTCCTGTTGTACCTGGTAGTGTTTTACTCGGAAAGCAGTATCTGCGACTTCCAGCAGCTGAGGCGTATGATCGTCGGTGACCCGTTCGTTGTGAACGCGACCAAGAAGATACTCTTCTGGAACACGATGTTCAACAACAAGATGTTCTACATGGGAAAAGGTGACATTTTCCGCGATTGCCCCGTAAACAACTGCTACGCGACGCACGCCAGAGACATTGCGGATCTGCTGGACTTCGACGCTGTCCTGTTCCA